GTCTTACGATGGGTGCCGCTATGCTTCCCAGCAGATAATGCTGTTGTCCTACAGGCCAGCAGTGCCCCGCTAAGACAAAGGAAAGCCTCCAAAATCACTAGCTAAGAAAATAACTGGCAGAGTTGGAATGTGCACATGCATCAGACTTTCCTTTGGGTTACAGATATACATATATTGAGTGCATTCCTAAATTATTTCAGAATTCCTAGCTCCAGATTTCCCCCTTACCCAGTTCACAGGTAAGAGCCTTGGGACTTGGCAGACATGAGGCGGTCCGGGGTGAAGCCAAACAAATGTGTGCAATAAAAAAGAAAAAGAAGCACTTTAATCAAGTAAACTTCTTTTTCTGTTTCAAAGCAGAACCAAATTTCGTATTTGCTTGATCAAGAGCCCATAACTTGCCCGGAACCAACAGTGGCCATTAAGGCCTGATGGTTTGTTGAGACTTGAGCAGAAGCGGGATTTCATATCTTTAATTTCAAAACAGGAAATGAAACTGAAGCTGTTATTTATAGAGCCACACCTCCTCAAAAGTCATAGGAGCTTGGTTAAAGAATAAAACAGTACCCTTTCAAATCGACACATAAATGGAGAGAAAAGATTAGTTTTTCTTCTCTTTTCTTTAGGGCACAAACTCTTAGCAGTTTCAGGAAATTGTACTGTTGCTCAGTGTGGCCTCGTACAAATTGGATCATTATGATAAACGGGCTTAATTTCGGGAGTCCCCAAGATTCTTTGCAGAACAGCTTAAACACACGTTTGTTTCTTTTTTCTAATTGTATAGTTTCTTATTCCTTGTTAGCAAGTGGAAAAGCAGGCTCATAAAACATTGACTCATATTTCGTCTCTGCATCGGTATGCAGGTGAGTCATCCACACGGTGCCCAGCTCATCCTAAGTCATGTATAAAGAAGGGAAAACACCTGTACTTTGATGATGTTTTGGCCAAGCATTAGCTCCCCCACTATTAACATGTCTGATCTTAGAAGCTACCAAATGTAATGAAATTGGCCCGTCCTAGTAGCGCAGGGACAGACTGACCCATACACGCTACAGGGATTAGAGAGCCAGGCGGCCCATGCTCTCTGCCCTCCAGAAAGATGCCCCAAGGGATGACACGTACATCCTAACTGAACTTGTCCTTGGACGCACCGTTGTGTCTTGCCCACACCTGCGTGCTTTGAGAGCGAGAGGGTCACTGTGACCGTTCGCCAGGACAGATGAGCGCAAGCCTGAGCTAGCCTCGTCTGGACTGTCTTTACTCACTCTTCTGACACCAAGTGGGTGGCCAAGTCTTTGTTACGAACAACCACCAACTCTCCAGCAGCCAACGGGATGCCTACAGTTCAGTTCTGACACCACCTACCTGGAGTCACTCAGATTCTAGAGGGTTAAGGGCTCAGTCCCAGGAGGCTGTTTCCCCTTCAAACACCAGTCGCAAGTACTGGGTGCCCGGGGTACCCCCACTTCTGTGTTGCGTGGCTACAAAGTTGGGGGTTCCCATGATCCCTCCTTTCCGGGTTCATCTGTCCTCATGAGCACTGATTTATTAGAAGGGAAAGGAATGAAGGACCAGAGGACAGGGTAGAGGGAGACTTCTCTAAGGGTCTCTCGTGGTGCAGCTTCTGTCCCTGTGGACTCGGGGTGTGCTACCCTCTCAGAATGCTGATGTGCTCACCACCCAGAAGCTCTCTGAGCCCCGTGGTTTAGGGTTTCCATGGAGATTTTGTAACATAGCCCCAGTTGATTAAATCAATCGCTGGCTGTGGCTGATGAACTCAGTCTCCAGCCCCTCTCCCTTCCCTGGAGGGTAGAGGTGGGGTTGGAAGTTCTAATCCTTTATTCCTCCCTGGATCTTTCAGGAGACCTGCCCCATCCTGAGCTCCCCAGGGCCCCAGCCTCCAGTCACTCATTAGCATACAAAAGATACTCTTATAGCTCAGGAGTTCTTAAGGGTTTTAGGAGCCTTATGCCAGGAGGAGACAAAAACCCAAGGCTGACTTCTTACTCTCTCGCACCCCTGTAGCCCCAGACCCAAAGGTCCTGGCTTCTGATTTTGCCTAGAGCAGTGGTTCTCAAAGTGTGGTCCCCGTTACCAGCAGCAGCAAAACACCTGAGTGTTGGCGAGAAACGTAATCCTCAGTCCCCACCCCAGACCCGCTGAATCATGAATTCTGGGGTGGGCGCCGCATTCTGTGTGTCAAGTCCAAGAGGGTTCTGATGCCCACTCAAGCCCAGGAGCCGCTGACCAAAGGACTCCAGAGGAGCGGGTATTTGGGTCTCATTTAAGGGGAGAAGAAATCTGCCAGGTGTGCCGAGGGGATGGCAGTGGAGGACGAATTCCAGGGAGAGAGGAGACAGCCTGTGGACCAGCTTTGTAATCAGAGGAGCAGGGAGGTCACCACCGAAGGACACAGAGCGGCTGGGAGGGCAGGGCTAGGAAGCCTCGAGTTTAAAACAAGAAAATCTGCTAGCGGCATAAGAGTGTGTGTGTTTAAAAGGAAAGGTCCTTGGGATCCGTTTGACATTGGACTTGGAGGAGGAATCCTGGAGGAAGGCGTCGAGTCGGGGGCTACGAGGCTGACCCCACTGACCACACGGGAGACCCCGGGCCCCGGGCAGGTGGAGTTTCAGGAAGCCTGCTTTGCAAGGATGGGTCTGTGTTTGTGTATTTGTTCAACAGCCTGGTCCATGTGTCCAGCAGGCAGCCGGGGGACCTTAGGCCAGAGCTGACAGGGGGCACAACCCTCCCCCGGGAACACTCACAGGGAAACAGAAGTGGATCCTGGGCAGAGCCTGCTTTTCCCTCCTGAGAGGATGGACACACCCCTGCAAGGTCTTGAGAAGACATGCCAGTGTCTGTGTGTCTGTGTCTGGGCCATGTGTGACACAGTGACGGCTGCCTGTCACTGTCTCAAGGACGCTGTGGGACAGCGTGGGACACACTTCCTTCTGAGGTGGAGTCCAACGCCAAGTTCGCGTTTTGGAGCGCTGCGTCTGTAATCTGCAGGTGCCCGTGATGGGGTCAGGTGTTGGGTTCGGAGCCATGGCCAAGGTACAATTCTTGAGACGTCTTTGGTACCAACAGTTATTTTTATTAAAGTACATGGACAGGACGTGTGGGCAGAAAGAGCTGGCTTAGATGTGTGAGGAGCGACTGATATATTATATAAGATTTTTCTGTCAGGGGCCGCCTGGGTGGCTCAGTCGGTTGAGCGTCTGACTTTGGCTCTGGTCAGGATCTCATGGTCCGTGAGTTCAAGCCCCGCGTCGGTTCTGTGCTGACAGCTCGGAGCCTGGAGCCTGCTTCGGATTCTGTGTGTCCCTCTCTGCCCCTCCTCTGCTCTCTCTCTCTCTCAAATATAAATAGACATTTTAAAAAATAGGAATAATTGCAAAATTTACATCAGGGAGCACCAAATAGAAACTACATAGCTTGATTAGAAATATGATTGTGAAAAGTTAGCAGAGAACTGAGAACTTTTATAAAACTGCATGGGTCCTGTGAAACCACCTGTGGTCTTACAGCAGCACCTTCCGGGCTTTGGCCCCAGGAAGTGGGTAGTTTGGGGCTCAGACACACGAGCTTGCGTGGTGGTTCCCTGTTAGACCCAGGGACTCCTCTCCTCCCCTGGCTACTGAAGAAAACCAGTTCCCCAGAGAGTGTACCTTTCTGCATTGAAGACATTGACTTGTCTCACTCCTTCTTTCAAAGCGAAGCCAAAATGTCAAGTGTGTATTTTAGAGACGTTTAGTTTTCCTTGAGTAAAGAAGAATTCGTCTTCCCACGGCCCCTAGCCTGAGCGATGGCTGTGCCTGGGTCCGTAACCTGCTGTTTCCTCCCTGACACCACTTCTTTGGTCTTTTCCTTGCCTGGCGGGGGGATCAAGTTGGGTACAGGAGGGCACTCTGAGTTGTGCCGGGGCGGCGGACCAGGGGGCCAGAGGGGCCACATCATTTCTAGAACTTAATAGATTGCATTGCGTTAATTTTTCATCAGTACTAGTGTGGTTCTTTCTCTTTATTTTTCTCTCCGTTGGATGAACTCTTTAATATCCTCCTTCAAAATGGGTCTCTAGTTAGAGTTCTCTTCGTGTGGTGGTAAAATAGACTCATGGAAAATTCGTGTGACCATTGTTGAGCGCACATCTCCGTGGCGTTAAGTACGTTCACAGTGCTGCCCAGACATCACCTCTGTCCGTGTCCATATCTTTTTCATCTTCCCAAATAGACAACGTGCCCGTTAAACGCTGACCCTCCGTTTTCTTCTCTACCCAACATTCTTCTTGTTGGCAAACCAACATTCTGCGTTTGACTCTCCTAGGTACATCATGTAAAGAATAGCACTTTTTTGGTAAATTTAATGAATTGAGATACTGAACAAATTTGGGCATGTCTTCAAAGCCACAATCGGCCCTGGGGATGTAAGTGGGGGCTGAGAATTAAACGAGCTTTTGTTTCAGTCATTTCCATTAACCTCATTCGATACAACACATCAGTCAGGATTGTGAAAACGTGGCTAGTCAGCTTACCACCATGGAAATATTTAACTCTGAGTTCTCTGGCGATAAACAGCTTTGTGTGTTGTTTTGTCTACGTTTCTGGTTTCTTACCGATTGCTTCTCGAGTGGAAACACAAGCCAGGCATACTGCTTCTTTGGAGAAGTGGGCGGTGTTCCCAACTCTGGAAACAACAGAAAAGAACTGGTGTGTTTCATCCAATGTCTGTTGGCACCAATTACACGACACATGTGGCCTTTAACGATGTTCAGAGCTAGGAGGGAAATCTGCACGGCTTGGAACTGACGGAATTTACTAATAAAAATGACAAAGACAGGTCAGGAAAGTCCTAGTAGGTCAGTAGTTGGCTAACTGGTTATGAACTTAAAGACATGCCCATATGGTAGATGCTTTTTCAAAAGAGCTTTCATTAGCTCTGTCTGTGTTTTACCACGGGGCACGTGTCTCAGTCTTTGTTCTGCGCTGCGCTCTTTCCCACAGGACACATGACCACCAGAGAAGGCTGCTACAGAGACCTGAGGTTTCCAGTGAATACGTCTTTCTGCAATCCGCACACCCGACCCGTCACAGGGGTGGTCTCCTGCAAAGTTTCCGCCTGTCCTCCCAGGTAAGAACAGCTGTGGTCGCCCAGACAGGTCTCGCAGGTTTGCGAATATACTTGGCGAGCCTCTGGTGCGCCTGAGTCTAGAGAACGGAAGTGCCACGTGCTGTCACGGCATCTGGAACGGCGAAGAGGCAAAAGCACCCAGATCTTCCTGAACGGGTATGTTTGGCGGGAAGTGGTCCCGAGGCTCTTGGGAATGGAAGTGGGAGTTCTCGCGACAGCATCCCGTTGGCTTGACTTTTACCGCAATCACTGCGGGACGGCAGGAGCGATCGTGTACCGTGGCGACGGCAGCGTTTTCCCTCTCCGCCTCCGGGCCTTTTGCTCTGGTCTGCTTTGCCCTACCGCGTGAGACGTGTCGGAGGGACCCGTTCACAGGCCTGCCAGGTGGTGCGGGGCAGTGTGGATGGCTGCAGGGCGCACGTGTACATGCGTGTGTTTGCACAGACACACATGCACACGTGCGAGACTGAGCTGAGAAAGCCAGGGGGCACTCTGGCTCCCTGTCCCTCCCCAGCACCGTTGCCCCGAGACAGGACCCCCACGAGTGGCAGGACCCCCGCGAGTGGCCATGGCCCGGCCCTGCCACCAGCCGTCACACCCTGGGCGCACCCTTCACCTCTCTGGTGCTCGGTCCCCTCAGCTTTACGGGGGGCACGTCCCAGAGGGGCTGTGACAATCTTCTGAGTAACACAACGGGCGTCTGACCCCAGCTGGGTTCTCCGTGCAGCCGACAGCCCTAAAATCGGCCCAAGATCATGTCAAACACCTCGATCTTAAAGATGTCCAGCCACTGGCGAACTGATTGCAGGTTTGCTGAGAGGTGTCTCAGAAGCACGATGCTTTTCCGGGAGACAGGGACACGCAAGAGGGAGACAGGCGTCACCTCCCTCTGTCTCTGAGCTGTCCGGGTCCCCGGTCACTGGCTCCGGATGGAGACGGGGTTGGCTTATCCGCATCTGAGAGGTCGGCAGCTTTTCTCCCACCACGGCGAGGGGGGGAACCCCTGGGGCTGGGGACCCACTGCTTCACAAAGCCTCCCGGCTGCCTCAGCTCCACACCCCACGGCCTGCGGTGGGGAGACATGCTGGTCGAAACGGACACGAGGACTCTGGCGCCTGGGACCCGTCACCCCCAGTGCACCGGGCGCCCACCCGGGGATCCCTCCTGGGACCGCGCAGGCTTTTGGGATGGCCACACACCTTGGTACCCGCTTCATATCCCTCAGCCGGCCCGTGCACCCCATGCATGTGCTGAGCTGGACACTCACTGCGGGCTCTGTGTCCGAGGTGACGTACCAAGTGCACAAAGTCCTGGATAGTCTCGGAGAAGAGTCTTGAGGTTGGCAGAGGGAGGCTGGCACCTGCTGGGCACCATTGGCTGCAGAAACAGCCATATAGGATACAGGGGCACCTGGGGGGCTCAGTGGGTGGAGCGTCCAACTCTTGGTTTCAGCTCAGGCCGTGATCTCGTGGTTTGTGAGTTCGAACCTCGTGCTGGGCTCTGCGCTGACAGCACAGAGCCTGCTTGGGATTCTCTCTCTCCCCTCTCTGTCTCTCTCTCTCTGCCCCTCCCCTGCTCATGCACACACACTCTCTCTCTTTCTCCCTCTCTCTCCAAATAAATAAATAAACTTAGAAAACATGATCATCCTGTCCAAAGGAAACAGAGGGCTGGATAGCCAGGGTTCCTGCAGCCTCCTGTCGAGTTGGTGCGCAAACTTGACTCCTTCTTCCTTCCCGGACAGCCAGTTCTGCACCTGTGTTGCAAGTGACCCAGCGTTGACATCACTGTGACCTTAGATCCTGGATCAACACTTTGTTGTGTGCAGATATGGATGTTTGGAGGTGTTGCCGTGTGCACTGAGGGTCTCTTACTGAGTTCTTATCGTGCTGAGTTCTTGCTGATGTGGGGCGCCCAAAGCACATCAAAGAACTGATGTGGGGCGCCCAAAAGCAGCTGGTTAGCTGCTAGGAGGTTAGCCGTAGAGGAATCTCCTTCACGTAGACCAAGAGAAGTGTGCGCGTGTCATTTTCAGGTGCAGGAGAAACCAGCCTTCGTAGTTACCTGTGGAGGCAGACTCGTCCGAGTCTAGAGCCCCAGAGAACTGGGGATGGTTAGTGCACGTGTGCCATCGCCCCGCACGTCCGCGAGCGGTTCACCCTCCTGCTGTCCAGCCTGCCTGCCTGTCTGTCCGGTGAGGCTTGTCTAGAAGCGACGTCGAGAAAACACCCAGCCCGGGACTAAGTCACCAGCACCCGGCTGCCAGCTTGGTGATTTTAAGCAGCACCTAACTCAGATGTGAACTGATAGTGGGGACCCCAGAACAGACCTCTCTGCGTCTGTAACCCATGCAGGGCTCAGACCCGGAAGCAGGAGAGGCTGGAGCGTCTACACGGGTTAGAAGGTCCCTCGTTTTTCCTGTAAGTCACCTGTGCAGCCCGCTGGTTTTCTCGCTGGGCCTCCTGTGCTTCCCTGTGGTTTGTCTTTCTGGTTTTGAGGGATTTGCATTCAAACCGTCTCTATATTCTCTGATGTCTTCTGTGCTTAACTTAGGTAAAATCTATTAAGTAAGTTCTGTCAAGGACCTTGTGTGCTGACAGAGAAGGCAAAGTTCTGAGCAAATGGACCAGTCGAGGGAAAGTTAGAACCGGGGTGTGGAAACAGCAGGTAGAAACATGGTGAGGTCCCCCCAGAGTCATCTACCCAATATCCAAAGGCCCCCCATCCGTCTGGCTCTTGGGTTTACGTCTCATGTGTTCGAGTATGTGTAGTTTTCTCCAAAGGAGAAGGCTTTTGGAGACAGGCCTGAGCTTGGCTGTAAGACGAATGCCATGCTTTCCTGCTGGGAGATTCCTAACATCCCCCGCAGATAACCGAGGCCCGATGTCACGCGGGGTCCCGCAGCTTGTACTACCCGGCCCCAGCTGTGTGCGTCACTTCGACGGAGTGGACGGGGTCGGCCAGGATTAGAAGTGCACTCGGCAGCTTGCGGAAAGGCGTGGGCCGTGCAGCCAGCAAGCTGGTTCAGATCTCCCACGCGGCTGGCGCTGGCACACTGAGGCCGGCCCTGCCGCGGCCCACGGAGCAGGAGAGGAAGAGGAGGGGACCCCAGGAGGCACCCGCATCACTGATGCTCCCGTGGGACGGGCTGGGAGGGGGACGCGGAACATCCCGCTGGGCATCCATGTGGTTATTTGGGGGTAAACAGAGAGCGAGCGTGTGTCGAGGGAATGCACGTAAAAGCTCTTAGCGCAGTACGTGTGCTAAGCGCTCAGTAACCCCTGGCCGTTTTTATCTGTGCTGTAAAAGGAGAAACAAATTCACGTCAGCTATTTATTTAGTCTGTGAAGCAAGACTGTCTATGACAAAACACAGAGGAATCAACTTATCTTACAGACGGTAGTGCTTGTGGATCGTTACTTTAACAGTTGACTTGGGGAAGTAGATCTTAATGTAAAAAGTTGTTTTGTCTTCCTCCATGATGTGAGGTGCATTTGTCTCCTGCCCGGAATACTGGCAACTTCTTGTTCCTGGTTACATGGGCAGAGAAGCCAAGTTTCATTTCTGCAACAGCGAGGACGTTTGCCTTTCTTATTAGAGTCTGTCTGCTGTGAGTGCAGGCGTTCCCCTGTGCCTGTCCCAGGGCGGGTGTTCCCCTGTGCCTGTCCCAGGGCGGGTGTTCCCCTGTGCCTGTCCCGGGGCTGGTGTTCCCCTGTGCCTGTCCCGGGGCGGGTGTTCCCCTGTGACTGTCAGAGCCACGGCAGGTGCACCCAGTGCCTCCGAGAGCTGAGCCCCGCCCTCCCGGTCTAACTAAATGCAAGACACAGCAGGTGCAATCCGGTGTTTCGTGTTGTGCCGGAGGCAGAGTCCCCAAAGGACCGGGAGTAGAGTCTAAAACATCTTAATGCACAGCCTACTTGTCTTTAACTGAAATGAGAAGCTGCTACCGCGTGGGTTGTAGCTCCTGACCTCCCTGTCGGCATCCACATGCACACCTGCATCTCGGGCACACAGCTGGAGGGCTGTCAAGGCCAGGGCCCTTCCCCGGATGGGCTCTCCCAGCTCGTAAATTTCTGCGGGGAGCGGTGGGCTAGGCATCCAGCAGTGTCCTCACTGGAGGAAGCTCATCTTAAAATGTCTGCGAGGCTCCAGCCGGCAGGAGCATCGTGGCCAGATGAGCGGGGTCCGTGGTCCCCAGCTGTTCCCTGGGCCTGGGCTCCGCACTGGGGGCCGACCCCCCGCTGGCCCCGGAACGGCTGACAGCCTGGGCTCCCAGGGCCTAGCCACCTCTGTCTTCATCTGAGCGTGAATCGGGCTCTTGTCTCGCTTGCCTTTGAAACACAAGCCAGCAACCACAGATACTTACTCCCTTTTACATTTCTCAGTTTACCTAAACGGAGTGGCTCTTTGTGTCATTTATCTCAACTCGTGTCTGGTGTTGGAAGCACGAACACCGCAGCACGGCTTCCCCGACAGTGTACGGGAGGTGCAAGAGGAAATACTTCCCAGATGGGAAGCGGGTCCTTCTTCTCCGTCTCCGCGATTCCCCCAGGAATGCAGCCTACGCGTTTAAAGCAGATTGTGACCAAGTATACTTTGTTCTCTCGTGTTATTGAGTCATGCCGAGGCAGCTCTGTAGTCCTCTCCACCAGGCAGACTGTTTCTGCCTACGCTTTGGTGACTCCTTACAAACCCGTTGCTAGAACCGTTCCCTTGGAACCAAAGTGCCTCGGTCGGGGACTACATTCCTTCGGTTGCACACCAGAAACGCAGGTGAGGGTTAGCAGATGGACTTTATTCCCGGTTGTCTCCCACGGCAACATTTGCAGGGACAGGACAGGGGCAGTGACTCCGTCTTTCACCTCTTTAGCTACACGCCGTACAAACATTAAGTGCCCAGTAGTGCACAGGTTACCCAGGAAGGGAAAGAACCCTCATCCCTGGGGTGGTTCCCGCCTGCAAAAGGGTTCCACTCGCAGGGATGCCAAGGAAGTGAGCAG